GGTGCGGCTCGGGGAAGCCCGAGACCCTCCCCAAACCCTGCAGGCACCCCGCCAGCTCCCCAACACTTACTTTTTGGGTGGAAGGTGTAGACACTGCTATCCCCATGCCTGACCCCGGGAGGACAGAGAGAACCTTGTACTGAAAGGCAAGGGCATGTGTCACCATTGGACATCTCCCAGAACAGGCTGCCACCTCCACCCACTGCCCCCGGGGACCCGATCAGGAAGCTCATTGAAGAGAGGGGTTGGGGAGCCAGCAGACAGGCCTGGGCACCTCACCCTGGCTGAAACATGGGCTGTGGGCCCTGGGCTCCACACCCGAGTCTCACGGGGCCCTGCACCACGCGGCGCAGCGGGCTAGCACAGGCTTGGACAGGCCCACGGACATCTTGGGGGGCCCAGACTCATCTGGGTTCTATCCAAGCCCCTCCCTGGCCGGCGGCAGACAGGTGACACACCCACCTTCTGGATGTCCGTGATGTCCACCAGCTTGATGACCTTGTTTCGCTTGGAAGACCCGGACTTGGAGCTCTCGAAGCACAAGTAGCTGGGTGGGGGCAGGGAGACAGGTGGGGTCCAGCTGCTGGGCCAAGGCAGTGCTGGCTCGGGGGTGGGGGTCCTATCCAGGAGCCCCCAGGCACACCTGCCCCCCTCACACCAGGTCACACAGCCTCTCAAAGCGGAGGCCGCCGCTCCCCACAAAACCAAGGCTGGGGTAGCCAAGGCCCCGTACCCCAGGACAAGGTCGAGAACATCCCCCCACCTGGGTCAGGTCCTGGGTCAGGCCACTAAGGTGGCCTTCCACACGAGCCCCGTTAGAGGGGGCTGTCGCAGGCTGCTGCCTTCCTGGGGAGGGCACCTCGATTCTCGGGGGCACTGGGCCAGCCTACCATGGGTCCGAGAGATGAGGACAGGATGGAACCCTCCAGTACCCTCCCTCCCTCCCTCCCTCCCTCCTTCCCTCCCTCCCTCCCCGGGAAGCCCAGATCTTCAGCAAGAACAGCAGGGACCCCCTGCCTGGCCTCTGGGACCGGACCTGCATCAAGCAGCTCAGCTGCTGGCAGGCCTCCGGTGCGGCACACTCACTTCTCAGTCACGTACAGCACGCCATTGCGGATGTAGTCCGTGGGCATCTTGCGATCCCTGTTGATGAGGCAGCAGCGCCACCCGCTCTCACACACTGTAGGGGGGGAACACACCGGCCACGCGTTCGAGAGGGCGTCTCACACAGTGACCCACGGGTGGGCGGGGCCCCATCTTGCCTCTGACAGGCAACTGTTGGCGCTACAGACAGCCACAGTGCTGGACATGGCCAGGCAGGCACAGACGCCTGCTACCCCGAGCCTCTGCTGTTCCCACCTGGGTGGAGAAGGTGCTCCACCACCAGGCGGTCCCTCTACCGGCTGTTCAGGCCTGGGATCCCAAAAACCCAGGACGGCTGGTCCCCCAGCTCCTGGCCACTCTGCTGACCAGCCTCTCCAACTCAGAGCCCCGTGACGTGGCAGGGGCTCTGATCAATGTGTGCACCTCTGGCCAGAGGGCAGTGTCTGGTAGCCAGGTCCTCGTGCAAGGGCCAGGGTCTGGTGGAGAGGGGTGTGTGTGTAACAGGCTGTGGTCAGTGTCCGGACCTGGGCGATGGTTGTGCATGGTGGTGGGGCCCCTGGGTCATGGTATCTAGGTGGCGGGGTACCCAGACAGTGGTCTGTTGGTGAGAACCCCAGGCTGTGGGGTCTGGTGCCTGTGCTGCGGTGAGTTCTGGTCACTGTACATACCTGCCAGCGGCCGCTCATTCTCCGTCAGGTTGAAGATTTCGTGGAAGTTCCCCTTCTTGGTGCCGTGGAAGCGGCTGGAGTCCTCGTCTCTGCTCAGGCCGGCTGGGGCGCTGGCCACGCAGCTCCGGGAGGAGGCGGTCTGGATCTGTGGACAGTGGAGGCCCATCAGGCACAGGGACGGGCAGCTGGCCACAGGGTACTGGGGACATGGGAAGACAAAGTGCTCAGGTGTGCACAAGCCCCCACGTGGGCTGCAGGCTTGCAAAGTACAGTGTGTGGTGTCTGCTGGACACTGAAGTCCTGTTCTTGCAAGGCGGGCAGTTCAAAACCACCTGCAACTCAGCAGGAGGAAGACAAGGCTTTCATCTCCCGCTGTGACCCGGGATGGGCTCGATGGCAACGAGGGTTGGTTTGTGTTTTGTTCCGGCCCCAGCATACAGGCTGTGCTCGGTCCATGTCCAGCACGTGTCCCCAAGGCCCATGTGTCCAGCGTGAGGCATTTCAAATGGACACAGGTGGGGAGGGGGCGGCCAAGAGCAGTCAGGAACCAGCACTCGGGTCACGATAGTATGAGGCCACTGACGTATGAGGCCCACATGACGTACACACACACTCAGAGCCTGTCCTGCTGGGTGACACCTCTACTGGGCCTGGGCCACCTGCCCCATCCTTTGCTCCCTCTGAGAGTGCACCATCCCTCAGAACACACACACCAGACCACCCTGGGGTGCTGCGTGTCTGGGGGCACTGAGGGTGCTGGGGCCCAGAGGGTCCATTGTCCCAGGACTGCTTGTCCCGGCCGCCTCAGCCTCAAAGCCGTACAGTGGGGCCTGGGCAGCTCGCCCCCATGGGCCCTGCAGAGGTCAAGGGTAGCCTGCCAGTGACGGGCGACACTGAGTTCTGAGGCCCCCACCATTGGAGCCCGTGGCTCACCCGGCGTGACACGGTGGCGCTGGCTCGCTCCTTGAGCTGGGGGTCAGTGGGGAGATTCTTCCAGATGATGTAGGGGGTGTCATACTTGGCTCGCAGGCGCGGGCAGCGTTTGAAGATGAAATCGATGAGGAAGAACTTGATGCCGGCGTAGAGGCCTGAGAGGGGAGCAGCCCTCTTGGATCTCTGCCACCAGCCTGCCACCCGGCGGCAGTCCTGGCCCCTCTGGGGGACCCCTCGCCCAGGGCGAGCCCCCCACGGCGGTGAGCACCCTCTTTACCCATAGCAAGCCCCCTGGGCAATGGCTATCCCCTACGGCGAGCCACCAGCCCCACGGGCCGTGGCCGTCGCTCACCCGCAGCGAGCCCCACGAGGCGGTAGGGGAGGAAGCAGGAGGCAAGGAAGGCGGCCCACAGGGCGATGTAGAGCTTCTGTGTGATCTCGGGCTGCACCCACATGAACAGGCTGCAGGGAGGGGGTCAGTGAAGCCACTTGGTCACCCACCCTGGCCCCCACCTGCCCTGCCCCCATTCCACTCACTTCTTGATCTTCTCCAAGATGTCGGCCATCTTGCCAAAGAGGTTCTGTGTGGGGACAAAACCGAGTGCACAGCAGGAGTGAGCACGGGGAGCACTCAGGCTGAGGGTCTGAAGATGGGGAGCACTCAGGCTGAGCGTTTGTGGGGACAGGGAGCACAATTATCCACCCACCCGTAGACAGCACCTGGCCCAGAACTTGGGGTGCTCAGGGCCCCAAGGCTCCACCACCACCTGGACCAGGCCAGCACCACTGCCCCCTACCCGTAGCCCCATGACCAATCCAGCGTCACCTGTGCCTTCTGGGCTACGTCCAGCACCAGCTGGAACTTCTCAGACACGGTCAGGTCCTCTTTGGGAGGCTCCTTCAAAGGAAAAGTGAGCTCCCTGAAAACGACCCACAAATACGAGGAGGGATCCCCTCCCCAGCAGTCAGGGGGTCACACTGCTGTCCCCACAGGGGACAGCTCTGCCATCTCACCCAAACTCGTGGGGGATGGGGCAGTGGACAGTCCCAGGCTGCAGTGAGGGCACACAGAGGTTCACTTCCTAGCTGGTCCCCCTCAACACCCCGTGCCCCATACTTAGCAGGAAGGGAAACTGAAGCCCTGACAGGAGCAATGGGGCAGGACGCCAGTGGGTGCACACATGCCCCACCCAGGGGCCCCAGGAACCCTCCAGGCCCTTCTGCAGAGCAGAGCGATGCCCCGGGCCCGTGGGACTCACCACAGCTTCAGACACCTCGGGGACAATGCTCCACTGGATCCTCCAGCCCCTGTGCACAAGGCCATGCAACGGTCAACGGTCATCTGCCCGGGCTTTTGCCGGCCAGGGACCCCCAAGTGCCCAGAGGGGCCAGCAGAGGGGATGGCAGGGGTGGCTGGTGGGGATTGGTGTGGGGTGGGGTCCAGAGTCCGGTCCCTGATTCCTGGGAACAGAGCACCTAGCCTCCTTGCCCGGCCCACCCTGGGAGCGTGGGTTCCAGCACATTCCACAGCCCCTCCTCCAGGCAATGGGGCCCCAGGAGGGCACTGCCGACACCTTCCAGACTATTTATTTATGCGTCTTATTTTCTAGGGAAAAGCCGACGGGGAGCTGAAATTCTGAAGCCCAGGTTTGCGGGGCTGTGGTCCTCATGGAGAGGCCCAAGTCCATGTGGAATCCGGATCCATTTCCCTCCTTTCTGACCTCAAGGTGAGTGTGTGAAAGTGGATTCTAATTGGGAGGCGCTGAACAGAGAGTAAGACAAGACCATGTTCTGACATTGTGGTGAGGGCTGCACCAATCTTAGTGTGATCGATGGGACTGAACAATTACATTGTATCGTGTGGGGAAACAATTACATTGTATCGTGTGGGGGAACAATTACATTGTATCATGTGGGGGGAAATTACAATGTATCATGTGGGGAAACAATTACATTGTATCATGTGGGGGGGAATTACAATGTATCATGTGGGGAAACAATTACAATGTATCGTGTGGGGGAACAATTACATTATATCATGTGGGGGAACAATTACAATGTACCGTGTGGGGGAACAATTACATTATATCATGTGGGGGAACAATTACAATGTATCGTGTGGGGAACAATTACATTGTATCGTGTGGGGGAACAATTACATTGTATCATGTGGGGGAACAATTACAATGTATCGTGTGGGGAACAATTACATTGTATCATGTGGGGGAACAATTACATTGTATCGTGTGGGTGAACAATTACATTGTATCATATGGGGGGAAACAAGGAGATTACAATTGGGGGAAGGGATGGGTGGGGTGGGAGGCGCCTTGACTTACGCTTGAAAGAAAGCGGGGGACTTGCCTGGCGCTGTCCTGCATGGCTTGCTGAGGACAGTCTCATGGTATCTAACAGATGGGGTCCTGGTGGACTCTGGGCCGCACAGCCATGGCTCACACCCTGACCACCACTTAGCCAGGAGGTCGAAGCCCTGGGAACCAATCCTGTAACTGTTCTAATCTGCAGCCGTGTGTGTGTGTGTGTGTGTGTGTGTGTGTGTGTGTGTGTGTGTACATACATGTGTGTGTATATCTGTGGGGGGGGTGTAGTCCACATCTGTAGTCCCGCCTACAAAAATGGTGACGACTGGCCTGTCACCAGTTACGACTGTGAGGCAGCTTCCTGTCTCCCACCACGTACTGTAGGGAGCCCTGGTGGGTGGTGGCTACTGATGCCTCAGGCTGCTAACAGCAAGGCCAGCCACGTGAAACCATCACGCGGCAGCTCTCTGCTCCCGTAGAGTTAGAGTCTGGGGGACCCGCAGGGGCAGCACTGCCCTGTCCTGTAGGGGCACTCTGAGCCTGTATGCACTCAAGGGCAGCGAGCTTGGTTTTGGTGTCCCCCCGCCCGCCAGCATATTCTAAGCCCCGAGGCTGGAGTCAGTGGACTCCATTTTTGGCCTCTGCACTGTTTACAGAGGTGTCCTGATGGCACAGTAAGTGACATGGGCTGCCAACCACAGAGGTAGCAGTTCAAAACCACCAGCCATTCCTTGGGAGAAAGGTGAGGCTGTCTGCTCCCATAAACAGTGGCCGCCTTGGGGACCCACAGGGTCGCCCTGTGCTGTCCCGTAGGGTGGCGGTGAGTCAAGGCGGTGAGCACAAGTCTGTCTGCACCGAGGGTTTCCCTCCTTCTGGCAGGGTTGTACTGTGTCTGTCCCCAAAGGGTCTCCACAGACTACATTTGCTTCCGGACACAAACTCGAATGAGGATGGGGTGACCTCGAGGGCAGAAAGCTATGTTGCAGGAGCCCAAAGGAGGAGCCACGGCCACCACTGGAGGCCAGTGCAGGTGCTGGTGGCACAGGCGTGGCCTGCAGAACCCAGGCTATCAAGACCTACAGGTTCCCCCTCACAACCCGGGACCCCGGAACCTGGACCCTCACAGCACCAAGAGCCCCTGGAATCGCGTTGCCCACATGATGGGTCACCAGCTCCGGGGTCTAGGATGAGTGGCCCCACCCACTCCTGGCCTGGTGTGGAGCAGGCACTGGCAGCCGAAGCTGGGGGCTGGGCACATCTCGCCGGGCAGGGTCAGGACCAGCCAGGGGTTTTACATATGGTGCCTGCAGGTTCTGGAGGCTAACAGGGACCCCGCCAACATCAGTGCTGCTAGTGAGCCAGATGGGAGATGTGCTGGCCCTGGGGCGATGGGGAAGTGGCTGCGCCGCCCACATAGCCCACCTACCTGGCGATGAGGAAATTCAGGGACAAGCGCAGGATCGCCAGAAACAGGAACACGGGGATGGCCCAGCCGTGCCACACGGCGTTCATGTACACCTGCAGGCGGGGAAGGGCGGGGCGGTCATCTGACACATGGGCCACCTGCCCTCCTCCAGCGGCACCGGAGGGCCAGGTGTGCAGCTCTGCCACACCCAGGCTCGGCCATGATGTCAGAAGCCGGGAGAGCTGCAGGGCTGGGAAGTGGGGCACACTAGGGCTTAGCCAGGGCCAGCAAGATGCACATGGGGTCCTGGTCTGGCCTACACAGGGTTCTGGCCTGGCCCACATGGGCCCAGCCTGTCCTATATAAGGGTCCAGTCTGGCCTGGCCCACACTGGGTCCAGGCCTGGTCCAGCCTACATGGCATCCTAGCCCAGTCCACAAGTGGGCCTAGCCTGGCCCATACAGGGTCTTGGGCCAGCCCACAGGGGGGCCTGGCCCATCCCACCCGGGATCCAGCCCAGCCTACACAGGGTTCTGGCCTGGCCCACACAGGGTCCCTGCCTGGCCCATACAGGGTCCCAGCTGAGCCCAATGCGAGGTCACAGCACCCCATTTATCATCAGTCTCGGACCCCAAGATGGAGGCAGGACCCCAGGAGCCCCCCATCCGCCGGACAGCACTCACGACGAAGGCAATGGCAGATGTGTAGACGGAGTACCAGTCGGATAAGGCAGAGAGGTTCTTCAGGAAGCCGGTCACTGGCTTGGCCCCGCGCTCTGCAGATGAAGCAGTCAGCTGCGGCCAGCGGTCAGCCCAAGCCCAGGGCATCCCTCCTGAAAGCTGGCCTGGGCCCACCCATGTGACGCGAAGCCCGCCAAGCCCAGTCCCCCTGGGCCACTCGGGAACCTTGTAGCCACCCCATCATGCTGTCTGTGGGCGGTAACAGTTGGAAGAGGGAAGAAAGGGGGGGCAGGGAACAGACAGGTGTCAGGTAGTAGCCTGCACCCTCAGGGCTGGAGAGACAGCTGAGAGGTGACCTGGAGAAAAGCCAGTTTCCCATCTCAAACGAGGACTGGGGCGGCGGCGGGGCAGGGGTGGGGGTCACGTGGAGCAGAGGGGGCCATGCGGACTTACTCAGTCGCCTCATGTTCTCCGTTAACCTACGAGAGGGGAGAAGGGGAACGGGGAGCGCACTGGTCAACCCGTGCATTCCAGCCCGTGACCTGAGGTGCTCCAATAGACACTGGCAGCTTGGAGGACAGGCCCACCTCTCGCTCGGGTGAGCCCCTCAGGGCCCCTCAGCCCAGTGGGCTCTGGGGAGCCTGTCTCAGCACAGCCCACAAGCGGAGGCCCAAGTCCTATGAGAGCTGCTCCAGGTGGGGGGAAGCCCCTGCCCTGGACACACGGGCCACTCGGACACACAGCCACCAGGACACTCAGCCACCAGGGCACATGGCCACTCAGCCGCTGGGACACACAGGACACTCAGCCACCAGGACACACAGGACACAGCCACTAGGACACTCAGCAGCCAAGACACTCAGCCACCATGGCACATGGACACTCGGACACACAACAGCCAGGACACTCAGCCACCAGGACACACAGGACACAGCCACTTGGGCACTCAGCAGCCAGGACACTCAGCCACCAGGACACATAGACACTAGGACACACAGCTGCCGGGACACATGCCACTCAGACACACAGCAGCCAGGACACATGTCCACTAGGATACATGACCACCAGAACACACGGCCACCCAAACACAGCAGCCCAGACACTTAGCTGCCAGGACACACAGCCACCAGGACACACAGTCATCAGGATACACAGCCGCCAGGACTCACAGCCACCAGGACACACTGACACAGCTGCAGGACACTCAGCTGCCAGGACACACGGCCACTAGGACACACAGCCACCAGGACACTCAGCTGCCAGGACACACGGCCACTAGGACACACAGCCACCAGGACACTCAGCTGCCAGGACACACAGCCACCAGGGCACATGGCTAACCGGACACACAGTAGCCCGGACACTCAGCTGCCAGGACACACAGCCACCGAGACACACAGTCATCAGGATACACAGCCGCCAAGACACACAGCAACCAGGACTCACAGCCGCCAGGACACACAGGACACAGCTGCCAGGACACTCAGCCGCCAGGACACACAGGACACCGCCACCAGGACACCGCCACCAGGACACTCAGCCGCCTGACAGTCTGCAGTCCCAGGGAGCGCAGCCCTGCCCTCGGGCTTACCCAGGAATCAGGGGGCTCGCCTGGCCTGGCGCAGCCTTCGTGACCTACTGGAAACAGCTGCCTTCATTGAGTAGTGGGGCCCTGGTGGCTAGGACTCAGGGTTGCAGCATCCTGGGCCACAGCCCGACCACCACAGCGCCAGGGGTCAAAGCCCGAGGCCCAGTCCTGCAAAGGAGCCCACAGGCAGGCCTACCTCCGGGCACTGAGGGGCTCCTCAGCCTCCACGGTGCTCTCCTCCGGCTGGAAGCGGAAATCCTCCACATACTCCCCGAACCGGTCCAAGAACCACTTTTGCAGGCGGGCGCTCAGCCCCTGGCCCCGGCGGTGCTCTGTGGGGACAGCCGGGGTAGTGGTAAGGTTTGGCCCAGGGCCTGACAGCAGATGGCCACCATGGGGAGGGGACCACAAAGAGATGGTGGTGGGGGTTCTGGGTTCCCCCAGTCCTCAGTTCCATCAGGCACCTGTTTCTAGCCACCCCAGAGTCTAAGTATCTCACACCCCGCCTCCCCCCGCATCTCTGGGGATAACTGCAGCCCCTTCCTGCGGGTTTCTGTGGCCTGGGAGGGGACAAGCCCTGGGGAGAGAGAGGTCATCAGGTCTGACAGCAACATAAACTGCTGACGCACAGCTCAGGCCCAGGGCAGGCTGGCCAAAACAACACCACGCCCAGAAGGTGGACACTGGCCCTGCTTGGCTTGAGCCAGGTCTGCAGATCCGGCTGTCCCTCCAGGAAGCAGGTTGGGAGGTGCCTGCAGGGGCGCTGCCTGACAAGTGTGAGCTCCCGCCCCTGCACGCCCAGGGCCATTGGGCCTGCCCCACGTGGACACAGGGGCACCACACATGCAGAGGCAGCCAGAGCTCTGGAAGGAGTGGCCAAGGTCAAGGCCAAGGCTTCCAGTTCCCCCATCAGGGCATTAGGGAGATGGTGCACTCAGGAACCATCCAGTCAGTGCTGCCTCATGAGGACGCCTGCCCCTCGCCCCCTCATACAACAGAATGAAACACAGCCCATCCTGCGCCACCACCACCACAGTTTGAGCCTCTGTGTCCTACATCTCGTGGACAGTCGTTCCTGCTGACCGTCTGCTCTGTAACCAAGCTTGAGGTGTGGCCATCTATGGGGACTGGCGCCTCAGTTTCCCCACGGAGGGTCTGTGGTATTAGGCCTCAGCATGAACGCCAGCTCCTCACAGCAGAGGAAGCCGCATCCCCGCACACACTTGTGGTCCTTACGTCATCTGGTGCCAACTTGAGACTATTAAGAGTGCGGGGGTGGAGTCTAGCCTGTCAATCAGGTCGCAGCTTGATGACCTCCTTGGGAGGCCTGATGGAGATAAACAGCTCACTGGAGGCCAAATATAGACACTCTCTCTGCTTTGTCTTCCTGATGACAAGCCACATGGAGCTACGCGGATGGAGCCCTGGAGCTGGAGGAGCCACATGGAGACCCACGCCAGTGCTGAGATGCTTCCACTGCCACTGGATCCACAAGACTTTCCAACCACTGGCCTGTGATCTTCCAGCATTCGGCGTCATTGCCGGTGTTGCGGGGGTCTGAAGAGGAATTTATAGTCTGGTTTCGGATATATGGGCTAATATCGGACTTATGGACTTGATCTGGACTGGGCTGGGAGGTTTACTGCTCAGAATAACAATTACTCTTTGTTATAAAGCTCTTTCTTCTGTATAGATGAGTCTCCCTGGGTTTGTTTCTCTAGTCAACCTGGACTAACACACATCATAAAACAGAAGATGGCAGTGGGCAAGGGTTCCGTCTTGCTTGGATCCACAACCCCTGCTCCTCGCAGCAGCAGACAAGGGGTCGAAAGACACACTGACTGGGCAAACCTGCTGCCTGAGAAAGGGCTGACGTCCCTTTGAGGGCGTGGTGCGTCTGGTCCCAGTCACATTTTCCACGGCCGCAGAGACATGTGTGGGCTGGACAGTGGGTGAGGACGGCTGAAGAAGACCCGACCGATGCCTGTGGGTTCTGATGTTGGTGAAGAAGACGGATGTACCACGGACTGTCGGGAGAACCGATAAATCTGTCTTGAAGGTTCAGCCAGAATGCGCCTCAGAAGAGAGTGAGGATGGCGAGCCTGTACAAGACCAGGGGCCAGTCCCTGGAGAAGGATGCGCTTGGAAACTTAGAGGGTCAGCGAGAAAGAGGAAGACCCTCAAGGAAATAGATTAACAGTGGCAGCAACCACACGCTCACACATAGCAATGGTCTTGAGGATGATGCAAAAGTGGCCCTGGTGGTGTCGTGGTTACGCGTTGGGCTGCGATCCCCATGGTTGGCAGTTCGAAACCACTAGAGCCTCCGAGGGAGAAAGACTGGGCTCTCCACTCCCGTCCACCGTGACAGTCTCGGTAACCCACAGGGGGACGCTTTGAGTCAGCACTGACTCCAGGGCAGTGAACTTGGTTTGGCTGTGTGCTTTACTGCTCAGCCGCATCTCCTACACTTGCAACAGCGTTGCAAAGTGAGCTCCGAGGTTTCTTAGTTGAGGATCCAGAGTGTTACAGCGTTTCTCCTTGGAGAGCCTGTTGTTCAGGGAGCCCTGGTGGTGCTGTCAAGTAACGGCAATGTCGGTGGTTCAAACCCCCGGCTGCTCTACGGGAGAATGCTGATCTGCTTCCAGAAAGATCTATGGCCCGGAGAAGCCTAACCAGGGTGACCAGGAGCAGAATCTCCTGGACAGACAGAGTCTTTCTGGTGTGCTCACTCGTGGTGGCCCCTGGGACGGAGGAGCAGAACTGCCCCGCAGGGTTGTCTGGGTGGGAATCTCAACAGAAGCAGACAGTCACGTCTGCTCCAAGCCAATGAGATAGGTTAGGAGCTGCACACTTAAATGGCTGTGCCAGCAGGAATCCTTACACGACCGGCCCCGGGCAGACTGCAGCTCAGGGTGGGGACTGCAGCACCCGAGCCGTCCCCTCTGACTGTGCTGCCCAGTCACAGCAGCACGGCTGGCTGGGGGACGTGGTGCTCCGCCTGCCCGTGGAACTTGCCAGGAGGCTGGGACGGCCACGGCTTTGCTCCCGTAAGAAATGGAGTCCGGTTTGCTTGGAACGGCTTGTTGGCTGTAATGAGTCATCGATCCCTGAGAGTTTGAGTTCCCGCAAGGGCCAGGGACACGACCCCTTCCACCTTACTGCCTGCCCCCCAAGCCCCACTCACCTGCTCCATTGTTAGCCTGGGCCTGCCCTTTGGGAGGCTGCTGAGCCGGCTGCTCTTCGGACCTCGAGTGGGGACAGAAGAGGTGAGTCAGCCGTTAGAAGGGGGCCCTGAAGATCCCTGCCCTCCCTGAGGGAGCCGGGTGGCCCCACTGTGCTCCTGTTCACCGGCCGTGGGGGGGGGGG